TAAGGATTCTTACTTTACATTATTAAAAAGAAAAGATTTAAGCAATTTGCCCAGCCAAAGCTAGTGTAATGTAGCTCTATGAAGCTCTCCGAAAGCTATTATAATGAAGTTCTCAGAAACGCTCCATTACTTACATTATTGAGTCGTGAAGGATTGGATAACCAGACAAAGAAATGACTAGATTCATATTACAATTAACGTGAAACTTACGCCTCCACTGAAATTCTGGAGCACCATCCCAATCAATTGGTAATGTTTTGTAATATTCCGCCATAATCATTTTGTTGGTTAATTTATCCGGACCCGTTTCCTCACCCAAACTTCTTACTGTTATATTCTTCAAACTTTCCACTACAGCAAGGACTACTTCAGCGTCCGTTTCTTGAGTGACATTTGAAGTTTTCCCTTCGTTTTCTGAAAAATATGAAAAGTGTCAATGGCATTTGCCACACAAATAGGATATTTCACCTTTTTTATTTTGTAGAATTCAGACATTTTTCGGCAAAATTACAGTTTTATTTACCAGAAGTTAAGAGGACTTTACGGGTTGGATTGAAACAAAAACAATTCTTTTATCCAATCGGAAAAGATGTCCCCAAGTCTTAAAACCTAGAAGTATTCTTGACTTCCTTCATGATTTCACTACTTCAAATCGAGGACATTTACTTTTACTAATCGTATGTTTGCCGATTTCTGGAAATTCATTTTCTGAAAAAGAAAAAAATCTGTCAAATGCACTTCCTTTAGATGTTTGCTTCCAGAACCTACAAATCAGAAAAATGATTCAAACATTTCTGGCTGGCCTTCGCGATGGCTGAGAATATTTCCTACAGTACGAGTGCAAGTGCATCTACATGAATCTCTATAGAAATACCCTCTTACCAGGTCTGCGAAACATGCAATAATGAGTTTAGAATGATCAGAAATGACAAAGACATATCCGGTCCGTTCTAGGAGCGATAATGATCAATGGCTTCTTAACTTCAGCAAGTAAAGTAAGAGGCCAACCGTTTTTGCCATCTTTGCCGACTATCGGTCTCGATGCATTGTCGTCATCACGTGCAACAACGACATCATCTTGCTCCGATGCCATGGGAGCTACTGGAATATTCGGTACACCAGTACTTACAGCATTTTGAGCTCCGCTATCGGCATCAACAGCAACAGTATCAGCCAGATTACTGTTGCGTTCATCAGCCATTTCAAAATTTGCCGGAGCTGCTATTGCTTCGAATTCTGCTTCACCGCTCAACTCCTTCGGAGGTTCAGTGATTGAATTAACTGTTGTTGGCGGGTCAAGCCGATTTTTTTGCGAGATAACACGATCTCGATGCACTCGTGAATAGAATGAAACCAAACACTTCACACCAAGCTCCTGAAGTGACTGATTAGGTTACGGTGGAGTGGTATCCCAGAAGAAAGAGAGTACACGCGAGGAATCACGGATGTCTCCAACATGCTGAATATAATATCAGCAACATGCTGATACAGTATAAAACCATTTACGAAAGAACTAGTGGATTAGTGCCAACCCACTCAAATCGAACAATGTTCTAGCCGTAACTAATGACGAATTATATACAGCAAGTAAGTAAATTACCATTATATTTGATTATTCAATGAATAATACTCAATATGAAAAGCTGCATGTGATAACTCAGCTTTAGGCACGAAAGGTAAAAACAAGTGTCTTTTTTCGTTCTTACAGTCTTTAACTATTAAGATTTGTATTTACCCAAAGAGGAAAAATTAAATAGAATTGGAAGGAAAGATATGAATATATAACAAGTTTCCCTTAAACGAATGAAGTCATTTCCATAAGATAAATACGATACAGGATGAAATAAATCACAATTAAGTTGCTCTTCCACAGAACCAAGAAAGTTTCTTAAATCAACCGGCGATGAGTTCTATTCCGTAAAGAAAAAAGAAGGGGAAAATAACAAAAAGTGATGCGAAAATCCAAGTAGTTTATGTGTCTAGTTGTCGAAAATAGAAGCGCTTTTGTCCAGCCATAGATTTGTTTCAGTATAAAATGAGAAGTTATGGGTTATACAGCAAGCAATAAGATCATGACCTGCTAAGGACAATATATTGCTTCGAGTAAGGAAATCCCGCCACAGATCTCGTTCTCTATAGTTGTATATCTCACTCATGTAAAAAAAAAAGAAAAAAATTGGAAACACTTTACAGCGAACAGACAATTATCGACAGCCAAGATTTCTATGAAGAAATAATGATATACAAGAGCTACCACAAAATGCCCATTAAAAAACTGGGTTGCAGGGTATGCAAGCTATCTTCACCAGAACTATCAGGCTATTCCACAAAGCGCGATTGCTGCCGATAACTGCGCACGTCGACGACGCAGTACCGCATATGTTTAATACGTTCTCAGCGATAAGATCACATCTGACTGATATTCAAAAACGTTAACCATCATCTTAACTCGCTTAATCGAAGCGTTGTTGGTTAGAAGAGGTTGACTAACTGCTGATGATAACGAAGCTCTGTAAATTCACATACGTTTCGCTATTACATTCTAACTAGAAATAATACATAACGAAGTTCAGCATACACACATATCCTTCAGTGTCAGACGCTAACATCATATGAAAATACGAAATCAGCTCGAAGTTATAAAACAGTGATGGAACAATGAGTTAAATGAATCATCTCTTCTCCTGTATTTTATATCTGATAAATGAAAAATGAACAACCTGATCTGAAACACCATCGATCAACGGAAAACGAATAATACGATCGATGACGTCACATCCAAGATCAAATTTCAAACTGATCAAGCGAAAAATGGTTTTATTGAATTGTTCTCGTGATTCATATTGCAATCGTATCGGTAAGGTGCTAATAATGACCACGCGGTCGATGTCTAACTTTTCCGTCTTTTCACCAAATGTCGTCAATACCTCCACCATCTCTTTACTTCTTGCGCCTGTAATTGATACATACTTTTTTAAAGCCTGAAATCATGCATGTCACGTTTTTCACTAAAATACTGTAGAGACCACACGACAACCTCAGTACATTTTTTGTAAATTGTAATTCCTAATTTTTCTCGTTCATAATAAACACGTAAACAATCATTTCACATATTAAAACAATAAATAAGTCATATTTTCGTTGAAGTGATTTGAAAAGGCCGCATCACAACCAATCCTATCAAAAGAAAAAACAAATCCCGAAAGCAATAAAACATGCATGCAAACGCAACGCCTGCACGCTGCGCATTCAGTCAAGTCTGAAAGTCATTCCGACCAAACTGGAATAATAATTCAGCCACACGTAATCGCTACGAAACCTCTGCATCCCGTGTGGATATTGTAATAAAAAAAAAAAATACAATTTTAATAAACAATAATTATATGATTAAAACACAATGATATAATGATAAAGTGATAAATGATAATTCAATTATAACATGATGATAATATGCTACGATAATACTATTATATGGTCAGAATTATCATGATTATAATTATGATATAACTGTAACAATAACAGAATGTTTTTTTGCCTCCTGATAGTCATAACGTAAATAAATATTGTCAGATTTGAGATTGTCCACTTCAACCTTTTGTTAAAGCTTCCAATATAGATTAATGATAATGTGATGTAACGATAATTGCATTATCGTTACATCACATTATCATCAGTCTATGTTAGAAGTTTACATTAAGTTAAATATGCCAACTATGGGATATCTGCATAAACTTGTACAAATGATAAATCCAACGATTCAATAATGCTGCTTAAAAAAGAAAGAATAAAAATAAGGAGGAAAAATGGAAAGGCATTAAAAAATGAAGTCAAAGTTTATCAAAGGGAAAACAATCTTTCATACAGTAAAGACCTACAGTAGTATCCTTCAAAGACCTACAGTAGTGTCCTTCAAAGACCTACAGTAGTACCCTTCCTTTTTTCAACTTATGTTTACACTAACAGTACCAATTTGACTTTGCACTTTAGTATCTGTCAATTATAAAGTTGTACATTCTAAAGATATACAATGTAATTTGTTGTCAAATGGGAAATCACACAGTTTCATTCCTTTTTTTTTGGAAGGATTTGAAGTCACTTCGAACATTCTAGAATAATTCGCAGATAATTGATCAATGACGAAGAAATTATCCGGATCTAAGATAACTATGTTCTTATTCAGAAAAATTCCGAAAATTAATCTCAGAATATTTTCACCTCCTCCCTCCTTACCTTACATGACATACGGTAAACGATCTTTCCTTCTTCCATCTCTACTACAAATAGCATACGATAAACAATGTACAGCGTGGTTTACAGTAACTCAGCAATATGTTTTGTTACCAGTGAAAGTCTCAAAGTCACAAGCACCATAAAGAACTTTTAGTAGATATCATTTCGAGATTAATTGAAGAATAAAAATGCAATATGGTTGCAATCCGGTCTAATTCGCTTAAAATTATTTCAAATTTTCAATCAATTATTTTCAGTTCTTACCAGACCAATCTTTAGTTTCGAATTGGTTCAGTGAACAGAAATTAACCATTAATCTCAATCCGATAATCCGATTCTTCATTAAGCATTTGATAGATAATGAAAAGTATTTGCCAATATAATCTCTCATTTCATTTAATTTAACAATATTGATTTTCTTTTCCACATTATTTTGAAATGTAATCATCAGAAAAGTTTTGAAATTATCGTGAAAAGGATGAGTTATACAATGAACAAAGAATTTTTGTTATCTTATTAAGATGTTACAATGGAAGAATGGTCATAAGTCATTCCCTTATTTTGGGATTTTAATTTTAAAAATTTAATTTTAATTGAAATTCAAAATGCACACTGTATCATCTTTTATTCATTTAATCAATGAATAATACACGAAATTATTACACAACTGTCAATAATTGTTGTAGCAATTTTCCCTGATAATTAGCTTTCAAATTTCAAATGTTTGAAACGAAACATTTCAGTTCACTTGAATTTAAAATTTCGATGATTTAAATGAAACTTTCGATAAATTTGTTAAATCCGGTTTTTGAAGGTTGTGGATTCATTGAAATTTCTCCATACCGGTGATAAAGATACGCCCAGCAGAATGAAATTGTTGCTTCCTAAATTTATAGCATTAAAATCTGAAACAATTCTAAAGTGATATGCGTATTGAGATCAATCTAATAGAAATTAAAAACAAAAAGAAGGCAAAGAGTAATTAGGCTAATTTTCAAATTCTAAAAGCCTGGTGATTTAAATTTATCAGCTTATTTATTCAAATGCTTACTCGATTTTGAGAGCAGAAATCGGATACATTGTCGCATAAGTCTGCTGCATATTTGAAAATGTCCTTTTCAGTATAATTACGACAAATCATACCGGCTACTTCAACCAAACATTTCACAAAAAATAAGCTGAATAAAATAGTTTGGTTGAAATCTGAGCAAATGATTGATTCTTTTGATCATATCGCAAGACCTTTTTGCAATTAGATATTATGAAATTATTAAGCATTTAAACTTAACAGTTCAAATGTTTAATAATTTCATAATATCTAATTCTTTTAAATGCTTAATTTAAATAGTTATCAAAATTCAATGAAATCTTAATTTTACTTTCCACTGAAAATATTGGAATTGATAAAATCAAGAACAAAAAGTAAGAAATAGAAGACAATTGCTTCACTGATAAAAAGATTATACCAATGAGAGCCTTAGGTTTAATTTTACCATAATTTAGTTGAAAATTTATCTGCACTCAAGAAGTTTATATCAATGATAAAAATTTTCACATAAAACTAAAACATTTATATTCAAAATTTGAAAAAAAAAATCTCGTTTCATTCGATAAGAGAAAGAATACTTTGGTACTACATGACATACTTGATAATCCCTGTTATCACAATGTCCAAAATGTTTGATGATTTTAATCTTTTTACTCCAAATTTTCAATCGATAGTGTCTGATTTGGATTCACAACTTAACTTATCATTCATAACTTTTTCATTTTAAGTAAATCTCATTTCTATTAATTTACTCGTACAGACAATAACTTACTCGCAAAGACCATCAATTTGTGGCCACATCGATGTATAAGCATCACATGCAGCAACGGATGATTTACAACTTTCATCATTTTGTCGCTCACGAATTAAATATCCCTAAGGGAATTAGCAGTAACTTTTGCATTTTCAAATTTAATTAATGAAGTTAGAATTTCATCTAAAAATTTGAAGTTTTTGTTTCAAAAATTTTAAAATACCTTAATTTTAGCATACTCTACTCATTTCTTATAGAAAATAAGTGGGACCAGCATTGGTTCATTTCAGTTTTTCTTTTTTCGTCAATTAAATTTCATTGGAAAGAGGTTAAAGATCAATCGGTAATTAGGGAGAATTTCCATCTATGTGAAAACTACAAAAGGATATTTGGTTGTAATATTTAAAATCCATATTATTAAAATGTGAAATATGCATATTAAAAACCATTTGACTGGCTGAATTATATGCTAATTCTTCAGCAGATGGATGTTCATCAATTCGATTTGTTATATCCAACCATTCATCTGATTAAAATAAACAAAAAATTTTTGTATTTGATTACTGAATTGACAAAATATGGAATATTTGCAAGGTTTTATGGTTAAGAGGTTAATTTATTAATTAATTAAAGATTAGTGAAACATCTGTTATATATTATTAGAACAGATTTTCAAATTTTCACTTTAAAATAATTTTTACACCAAAAAAATCCAATAATTTGCAATTACTCATGAAAAGACAAAATATCAAGGCTTTTTTTCTAGTACAAGGTTTTTTTTAGAAGTGAACGTGCCATTTCGAAAACTGCGAAATTGTCGAAATTCGAAATTTTTTCTAGTTTTAAAGGAAATTTAATAATTGAAAGTTAAAAAAGAGAGGGAACCAAGGATTTAGTATAGTAAATTAGTCATTGAGATATTTTCTGACCAGCGAACTTCAATTTTCGACTTCAAAACTTCTGACTTCATTTCTATCAAAAAAAAAGAAAAAAGTGTCTAACCTACAGCAAGTTACTATAACTTCCGTACGTTTCATCAAGAAGTAAATCCATTTGAACATAAATAACATAATTAGGATGGATGATTAGGATGATATATTAATGATAATTACGACTGATTCTAGAGAGAAATCATGTGACAAGCTAGAATCAGGTGATACAATGATAATAATAATAATAATAGTTTAATTAGAAATACTAACAATAGTTTGGAAATAGAAAAAGAAATAGTTTAGGAAAAAAAGTAACAGTTTAATTAGCAAAAAAATACGCTTCAAAAAAACAGTTTGACTATTTAGTATAATTAGAAACTTTTTCTTATCTTTAGAAGCTTTCTTCATGATTTAAATAACTTTACACATTGTACTATCATTGCATGCCCAATCAATTCTATCTATATTCACTAATTTTACAATTTGAATTTTTTGTTTTTGTCTTTAATCATAAATCAACCTGAACAGATGATCTTGAGACTCATAAAATAGTTTTCCGGAGGAAAAAACATTTTACCTCTAATTGGAAAAGATCCATCTTCTCCGGTATCATCTATTACATCCGGTTGTTGATGAACAAGAAACATTGATTGATGTGATGATATCTTCTCTTCCGTTCCACTTGTCGTGTCTTCCATTTTATGAGCATTCTTTATGCCCATTTTTTTCATTTCTTGTAATACATGAAATTTTTTAGTTTTATTGGATATTCCGGAATTCCGATTTAACTTCAAATCCATTTTTGTCATTCGTTTTTTAAATGCACACTTTCGTTTCGTTGCATTCAATTTTTTCATTGAAATCGTTGTTAATGATTTTTTCGTCGATTTACAATCAATAATTCCGATCAACATTACACTAACAGAAACTGAAAAGTTTTTTTGTTAAAAATAAACAGAATGTATGAAGTGCTATAAAAGGATACAATTTTAAATGATTAATTTATTAATTACGTTTTGATTTCAAAGAAAAACTAACTCATTAGCTGCTTTTAATTTGCAAAATTAATTTATTAGTTAGCTTTGATTTAAAAGAAAAGCTAATGCATTAATTGTTTATAATTCACAAGAAAATGAAAGATTAAAAATAACAAGAATTTAAAAATTTCTAACAAATAATTTTTCTCAAATTTTTGTTCACTTACCAATAAAATATATCTTCAGTACGTGCATTAAGAGAAATACACAAATAAAAAAGTATTCTGTTAGATGCAACCGAATTAATACTCAAATTAAGCAATAACTGGTAATAACTCTGTCACAAATCTGTCCTTTGAAAATAAATTTCATGCTAATTTTTTTTTGAATATTCTAAAATATACTCTTTAATTATTCAAAATGTTAAAATGAAAAAAAAAGAAAGTTAAGCAATGCTAATGTACGATAAAACATAATATATCTTAATGGCTACTAGGAATTACCAGAGAATTAGCACATTCATCAAGCATTTGCTAAATCCATCTATTGGTGATGAATACAGTTAATACATCTATTGATAACTGGACAGGGTTAAGTATAAAAGTCTCCGAAGACTAATTTTATTGAACTATGACCTCACTATCAGATTAACAATCTGTCTAGATTGACTGCTAAAAAGCTGAGAAATATTGAGTCCACAATCACAGTTGACAAAATTAAATCGCTATATTATCCATTTGTAAATTATGAATCTCAAATCATCCCATTCATATAATAATACTAAACCATTTTCAACAAGTTCGTTTTCTGGAATGATTTTAATTTATAAAATTATTGAAACCTAATCCTGCTAACTTTATCATAGCCTACCATTACTACTACTAACTATTACACCCCTTATCTGTGTTTCAATAAATTGAATCCAATTTCGATTATAAATTCGATCATAAAATATAGCCAACTTCACATAAAAAGAGTCTAACATTGAAGAAGGTTGCAATTTATTGATTATTTCTAATTTACAAGAAAAATTAATAATTTGTTAATTGCTTTTATTATTGGTCATTTTTTTCCCCTTCCTTTAAACAGTACAATAAATTATTCGTTATGTTTTAAAATAGTTTATTTCTTTTATACGCAAGCGTTTAATGATACAATATTATTTATATACCATAACAATCAATATCACTTCAACTGCAGATATCAATATCATTCTTATCCTAAAATACTTCTCTTCTGAAATAAAAGTTGACAATCATTTCACGAATTTGCATAATGATTTTATTATTATGCAAATATCACTTCACTTCTCATCTTTTCATTCCAATTCCTATCTGTCATATCATTTCTATCTCAAAATAATTTCTAGGCAGTGCATAATTTGAAATTTAAAAAAAGAAGAAAAGAAAAAAACAAAAACAAAACTAAATTTTATAAAATTTATTTGGTAATATTACTAAATGATATTGAAGCTATTTAAAAGAATTATACTGAATTTATCAAAGTATCTTGTGATATATGTGTGTGTAGAAATTTGCATTCACCCATATACTTACCCATATATTTACCCATAGAGTCGGTTATACCATTCAGAGAAAGGAAAAAGGTAGGGAAAATGTGAAAATGTGTATATGATGAATGTTTATTCGCCATTTTAACAACTTTAAAAAAAATGTCATTAAAAAGTGAAACTTTTTTCGAAGAATATGTCACCTCCTTTGTCACTTTCCATACTTTTTTTTTTCTAACGACTGGATAGATCCAGGCTGCAAATTTACGAAATATTATGTGAAAGAAGCAACAGCAAGGTTGAAAAAAAGGTAAAACGAAAAGCTCCAAAAATCCGACGAACACAATAAAGATACCTAATCGATCGATACCTATAACACATTGAAGATATCTAATCGATCGATACCTATAACACATTGAAGATACCTAATCGATCGATACCTGTAACACATTGAAGATATCTAATCGATCGATACCTATAACACATTGAAGATACCTAACATCTGCGTAATGAGTCGATGCCCATCCCAAATGAAATAATAATTGCAATAAAAATGATAACATTTATCATCTCATCCATTTATCACCGCTTAACTCAAATCTCATTGATCAATTTCCTCTTTCCTTAACAATGTCAACAACAATACTATTCCAGATCCAACCTCCTCTATTATCTTATTATTACTTTACGAATACTTCTCCAACATTTGCATGAAGAATTAAGAAAATCATAGTATAGACTATAGAATAGGAATCGATAAAGAATAGGTAATTGAGCAGCATTAAAAGAAGAGTTAAGAAAATCATAGTATAGACTATAGAATAGGAATCGATAAAGAATAGGTAATTGAGCAGCATTAAAAGAAGAGTTAAGAAAATTATACTACCAACTAAAGGATAGGTAAACGCCAACATTATATTCACCATGTTTTTTCTTTTTTTTTCGCGTCAAAATAGTGACAAAATAATTTTATTTTTTTTGTGCAATGAAATTATCGAATAGCGAGATGTCACCGATTAGTAGTAGTGAGATGTCACAGATCTGTCACCATCTTCTGCTTAATTATCTTATAGGAAAAAAAAGGAGGAGGAGGAAAGACAGAAAGAAATGAGAAGAATGAAAGTAAAGGTATAATTACCCTTTTTTTCCCCCATTGC